TTTAAAAAAAAAAAAAAAAAAAAGAAGTCTCTACAATAAAAACACAACTGCAGACTATCCTTACAATGCACAGTGTATGAGCCTCCCCTGTGAACTAGGTATGTACTTCATGTGTGTGTACTTAGACATACATCCCTTGTGATGTCTGTGTACATACGTGGTTCGCCATATAACCCTATACACACTCTCTTCAATACTCAGATGTTGGTAAAGCATTTCCTTCATGCCATGTGACTCGAGCCTATGGGCAGATCACAGGCCATGAAGCCCCAGTTGGAAGACTAGCCCTTGGCCTGGCACTGGTGTGCCTGGATTCTTCCAGAAGGGTTTACAAGGCTCATCTTTCACATAGGGGCTCCTTATAGCACCTCATCAGACTCCATAATCCCCTCCCTCTCCATTTATATGCCTTTCCCACGCTCAGGACTCCTCGTCATCCCTCCACCCAGTTTACATTCATCCAGCACCTGTGTCTCTGTCCCCGGCTGGTCGCTGTAGTTCGAGGCACCTCTTCTCTTCCTACTTGTGTCTGCCTTTTCTGCCACAGAGACTTTCTTTCCAGGCAAGATTCCTCCACCTCCGAGAAGGAAACAGGTCAGGCTTGGATTCCGGCTGGAAAAAGGCAGGCCAGACCAAAAGCTACAGCAGTGACCACACAGATTATGTATTTAGTTTTGTACGCTCCTCCTTTCACACTTTAGCCTCCACTTCATTTTAACCTCCACACAGATGGCAGCCTACCTTGCAGGAGACACTCAGCTGAAGCAAAGTTATTGCCAGGGCATAGGGGCCCCAAGATGGCTACAGACTGGACCTCTCACCACAAGCAAATCAGAGCCCACACCTCATCCGTGAACTACACTTTCCTGGAGGACAGGGGTCACACTCAGCACCGGCTGCTTCTCAAGAGTTGCTGGATCACCGGGCCTCCGGATCCCTTGGTTGGTGCTCTGCAGCATGGCAAGCTTCCTAGGTCCTGTTTGGCTCCACAGATGCCAGGATGACTGTGAGGCCAGGGGCAAGAGAGGAGTCAGGAGGGTGAGACCCTCCAGGTGGGCACACAGGTCAGGACTGTAAAGTGTGGGGCGTTTGGTACTGTTCATGTCTGGGTGTGAGCCTGTTACCTCAGCATTTCTCACAAGTGTACCATGTAGCATCTTTTGTGTATATAAAAGGGAGGGTTTTTTTTAATATATTCCCAGATTATCCTTGTAATGACATGAATCTGCAATAAAAGCCATCAGTGCTATGTGGATGGATCTGCACAGTGTGACGCTTCAGAATGCTTTGCTGGGGCCTCCCAGATTGAAGTCTCTTTAGGTAAAACCAGAAGGAGATTCAGCACAGGGCACACACCCAAACTGTTCAGAGTGCACTTTCCCCGTGTGGTTCCCACCCTGCTCCCTCAGGAGTCCTTGCTGATCCCCCATCTTGGGTCCAAGCCCCAAAGTAGAGAGCTCTAGAGAGTCAAACTGGAAGCAACCCTTTTTATAAACCTCTTGGGAGCCATATGAAAGCAGACCAGGGCACCAGTGCTTTTCCTCGAGCTCCACTCCAGCACCCGAAGCTAAGATTTGTTAAACCACGTCCTAGCTATATGGAAAGAGAAGGAAAAAGAGGCTCTCAGAAATGTGGAGCCCATTCTCCCTCTAGTAAGACAGGATGAGGTCAGGTCACTAGGCGGCAGATGACGACGGAACAGGAGCCTGGGAGATGGGGGCTGTGTCCGGGCCCTGAGCCTGGCTATCAGGCTGCTCCCTCACCAGCAAACACAGCCAGTCAGCAACCGGCAAACAATCCACCGGCATCAGCCAGATCAGGCCAGATCAACTGCATTTCTCTTCTCCCATCCCAATCAGGGGCCTCTTAACGCCTACAATCATAGGAGTCCTCCTAATCTTGGGTTCTCCGGGGTGCGTACCTTTGTCTCCCATGTGAAAGTCAGCAAAGCCCGGACTTCCTCCTGCCCCAGCCAAAGCCTCAAGTCCTGGTTTTGGCCAATACCTTGAACACCAATGTTCTCCAAGCAAGGGACACTGAATAAAACCCTGTCCTCCCAAAGTTCAGCAAGACTGAAAGAGAAACTTTCAAACTGCCGAAAGGAATGGTAATGGGAGTCCGCCATGCCTAAGAGGCCACAGATATTCGGGGGGCTCAAGGGGTCTTCCCAAACTTCCAGATCATCTCACCCCATCTCAGTCCTATCGACTCTTACAGTAAAAGAAACCCAGCAACTAGGTGAAACAAAAAAGGTTATACTTTAAGAGCAACAGATACAAGAAGGTACTCTTTCTGTCTCAGTTTTATTTGAGACTCTGAACGTTAAGGACAAAATATTAGACAGCAAGGACTCTACATTCCACAGCAAGGTAAAGACCATCTCTGTAAGTGGGACGGCTGAAAACTGGCTCTGCAGCTTTACCCACCTGATGCCTGGGTAAGAAGTGCAGGGGAAAGGTCCCAGGTGGAAGAGAATGAGATATCTTTCTAGCTTTTCCACCACCGCAGGTGGGTAGGGGTCCTCTCCGCCTCAAATCAAGTGAGAGGCATCGGGGGATCGACCCCTCCCAGAACATGGCACGGGTGAGTACGGGCACCTCTGTCTGCTGTGGAGCCCAATTCTAAGGCCCAGGGCTCCAAGCTCCTGAAGTGAGAGATGCTGGAAACTCAACTCGAGGGCCAGAAACTCAATGGACAGGTCAGGGAGGCAGGGGGTTGGCTGGGATCCAGTCAAGAAGCAGACTTGGTGCCCTCCCAGGCCCCAGGCCTCTGAGGCCGGATTTAGGAGTCCAGACTGTCTGGAGTCAAGGCAGCATTGTTAGAAGGGACTGGGCTTTGTCATGTCTGACACCAGGAAGACTTTTTAGCTTCCAATGCAAAAAGAATCATCCACAGGCAGGCTCAAGAGGACACTGGAGGAAAAATAAGAGTGGTTTCTTGTTACACCTGAGGGCTTCCAGCTCATTTAATAAGCTGGTTACGTAAGGACATAAGGTATCTCCCCAAGTCCATGGACAGGGATGCATCTGGGCCTCACAAGGGCTAGGAACCAGAAACTGCCTGGAACCCCTTCAAGAAGCAAGGCAGCATCCCAGCATCCTTCCTGGCTTCTTTCCTCTCTCCTTCCTGCAGGGTTTTTCTTGTGTTTCTCGGTGTTTATCTCTTCTCACTGCTTGTCCAAGCACACGCCACCAGACAGCCACGCTGGGCTCACTGTCCTCCTGATCTCAGGGGTACACTTTACATTCCCTGCTAATTCCCAGGCAGAGGATCCAACTGGCGGGCCAGGCTGGGTGTCCTATGGGCTAGCAGCAGAGCCGAGTGGAAAGAACACTACCGCTGAGGGTCAACGCTGGGCGAGAGGCAGGGGAGGTTTCCTAGTTTCCCAAGAAGTAGGGATTACGTACGGACTGGGTCTCTATTCAAAAAGGCGTTTTGGTTATCACTGGCCCCCCATCCTCTCTGGGACCCAATTACCAGATATATGGACTCCATCCCATTACTCTTCAGTTGAGGTCCTATTCCCCAGCTCCTCCCCTGCTGACCCCCTCCTATTCCCAAGAAGTACACACCAGCCCATCTAGCCCAGCTGGGTCACTGAACATGATACCTGGCTATGCCCTGATGGGCCTTTTCCTACCTTCCTGGGCGTGCTGGATTTCTCAGTATCTCTTTGTATACAAGGGGCACCAAGGTGCTCACTGCAGGGGACTCTTCCTTACTGCATTTTTCTCTGCATAACACTGACACCATCTACCATCTATTGGGTGCTTTCCACAGGCAGCGTGCATACCTCTAAATTCTTACCACAGTCCTGTGAGGTAGGTTCTATGAGCACCCTTTCAACACAGTCAACAAAGGCTCAAAAGTGTAAGTGACCTTCCCAGAAATAGGCAGCCTGAGACACTGGGAACTTAACTAAGTTGGTCCGATTCCTCTGTTCCTGCCTTACCACACACGAGGAAGAGCTGAAACCACTGGGGCTCACATCTCGCCCATCATCACTCAGCACTGCGTCTGAGACCCAAGCTGGCATGCAGTCTCCTGCTCAGAGAGCGCACAGCCTGCAGGTCTGTGCAGGGCAGCTGGATGGCAGGAAGCCAGCCTGTGACTGTTTCCCCAATGTGCCTCAGCACAACGGACACAGAATAACAGGGGACAGTGATGGAGAGTATTTCACAGCTTCTGGGGCCTTCCACCCTTTGCCAGGGCCAACACATGGCCCCTGCCTTTTTCCTCCTCTTCCTGTGGGACAGAGACCCCCTTGACCTGCAACCCACAGCCTCAGCACCCCCTGTCTTCAGTACTCAGAGTGTCCCACTTTGGGCTAGTCTGGCGGTCACCTTGTCTACCGGTTCTTCCTGGCCCTAGCCCTAGTCTACACTGTCTGGAAACAGGGTCAGGGGTGCGGCGGCTCATCTCACATTTCCATGCCTCCAGGACTGGGGCTTTCTAACCCTAGTCTCTCAGACCCCAGAGTTAGACCAGAGCCAGCCCTTGCCTGGGATTCCAGCCTTTG